GGGGAGGTCGCCAAAATAATTTTTCCGGAAAAATTTTTTTGGTCCTAGTCGGGCAGAATCCCGAAAAGTCGGGCAGAATCTCGAAAAGTCGGGCAATTTTCTTGCCGCCCCCCTAATTTTTTCCTTCCGGTACGCCCATGAGTCTGGGGCTGCAATACGGGGGTACTATGAGTCCTCTCCAAATAACGCCTATTCATTTTCATTTCAAAATCTTCGTATCCATGGTAATCACGTATCTGGTCAACATCTTAACAGCGTCAGCATGCAAGTATCGCAAACTAGCAAGTATGAAATGGAGTTGCAGCCAAATGCGTATTGGTGGTTTGTGATTTTCACCACCGAGGGGAGAATGGAGATGAGTCGATGGTCAGTTGGTGAACATACGTCACGTGGACACAACGTGATCACACACGGTCTCAAATGGTTCGCAAACTATTGAACATAAATGGTTCGATTTCGTATTGAACAAGGAAATATGTTTGTGCTTGCTTTTAGATAACATAGTTGTATAGATGTTGGCTGATTTTTAAAGCGTTACAGTCAAGAGTATATTAATAAGTGGAACTTAATTACTAGATTTAGTCAGTAAAATGTGTTAATTAATATGTAGTTTGAAATTGTATTTTGCAGTCATGATAGTAATAAATAAACAGCAAAGGAAAAAAGTGCTTCTTAAAGAGTGATACAAAATACTATAATGGCGTCCCCAGGCGCTTAGCACCGTGTGATTTTTTAGAAACATTTTTGAGGGCCAGTGAAAGAATGAAGGGCGACCGTCAATTCATGACTCGACTGCGCATCCAAATGAACGCGTTCTGTGTCGGGATAAATGTGCATCAGCCCAAAAAGTCTAGCTAGCTTTAGTCACAATACAATTAGAGATCCACGCGGACTTGTGGGTTAAAATATAAAGGGATTTTTCTTCTGTTGTAGGGCTGCAGCCAAAGGCCATGTTAAATGTTTGGAGTACCTTATAAACAAGGTGATGTTCACAGCTACAAGCTTTTCCCTTTTCGCTGCTCTAGAGCGGTGATTCAAATTTTCCTCTGGATTCCTCCTGTAGTATTTAGTCACTCTGGACCAAAAATTATTAATGGATTGACTGGGGGAAGGGTTGCAGGGGGGATGCACACCATTAACCATTACAACAATAGAGAGGTTCAGATTTGACTTTCCCTACCACTCTCACTGGCTTAGTACGCATGTGATTGTTTAATCGGGCATATCAAACGCATCTGATTGGTTAATTGTCCCTTAACAGTAGCAGTAGTGATCTGAACCTCTCTATTAATGCCCCTGAACCCTTCCAGCGGTAATATTCATCGTAATGACTTTGGTCAACGGTTGCACCCCGAACAGTGGACATGCAAGTTATTTCAAATATTTATATCCCCTCCCCCTCCCAGACAGTGTTGTTTACTTGAGACCCAACATTGAAAAGAGGGCGGAACCGGGGGCGGGGGTCGAAGTTTGTCAATAGGGGGCATCTGTTGCAACACATTGGAAAGTGATTGTTGCTAACCGTCGTAGATTTTCAACATAGGGAGGAAACATCGATGCTTTCCATTATTGTGGTTCTGCTCTATTGGCCGCCAGTCGTAACATGCAACATGAAGCAGTGAAATTCTTGCTCGATGCCGGGGCATCTGTGACAGAGAGGGATCAAATGATGGATACATGTATACATGTCGCAGTAAAAAAGGGTGACGTCAAGACTGTCAAAGTTTTAATGGAGGTAACCCAACAAAAATGTGTGATAGCATATTTGGCAAAATTTATTAAAACCCCAGTCAAACGAGATGAGAGTTGACGAGAGTTGGCAGTCACACATTGTCACAGGGGACATTTCAAGCTCTAGATTAATAAAGATTTGATGAGTGTTCCAACTATGTTCAACTCTCGTTAACTCTCGGGCTCATGCAACTCTTGTTCTCTTTTGACTGCATGCATGGGGTACGAATGACTGAGAAAACTCTCATGCAAACTCGTGCTTGTCAGATCCCATCAACCATTCAACTCACTTACTGTCATATCCTGCTTTAACCATGCAGGGTTTAACCGTATATAGAGTATATGCATGACTAGCAAAAGACATTTTCTACGTAACTTGAAATAATCTTTTAATAATGTAATGTACTAGTGTACTACCCTCTGACAAGAATCTGCCCTTTGCACATTGGTACGGGAAATCGTTTGGAATATTTCAAATTTAACATAATTTGTCATTTGTAGAAATGTGCTGATTCACTTCTGGAAATGAGAGATAAAAATGAAAGAACGACTTTGCACGTGGCCGCAGCCAATGGAAATGTAGAGGTAGGTACATGGAATTTAGAAGTCCGCAAAGATGAAACTCGTTTATTATTTGCTGTACATTTTAGGTAATGAGGATTCTGTTGTCTTACAAACCAGACGTTCAGGCGATTGATGACAGAGGGAAATGTCCACTTCATATTGCAGCCGAGTAAGTTCTTAATGTTTTTTGTTCACAAGCGCAAGCTATACCGTCTGTCACCATGGACGGTGGAACGACAAGAGGGCAAGGGGGAGGCTAAATTTGAACTTCAATGTTAAAATTACTTTCAATCATTATAATTGCGAATATTGCAATATTAAATAAATGTATAACATTTATACACTCGAAATTGCCATTTACAAACTCCTTCAAAAATTATTTCGCCAAAAGACAATAATCCCAAACTAACATGCACTGCTAAACGAAGTTATACAGTATAGTACAAATCTCATTTGTGTATATTTTGCATGGCTATGTCTGTTTCATCTCTTAATGTTACAGAAATGACAATTTGGATTGCGCGCAACTTCTTATCGAAGCAGACAAAGATAGCGTCAATTACACAGACTTTATGTGGAGAACTCCCCTACACGTCGCCAGTGTTTATTGTCATGATCTCAAGTTGTTAAAACTTCTCTTGGAAAATGGAGCAGATGTAAGAGCAAGGTAGGACCGCAGGTTCAATTCCTGCCAGTTGGCCTACGGTTGCATTTTTCACAGCTGTCCTGGTAAGGTCTACAAAATGAATAAAATTGACACTTGAAGTTTCTATCTTCAAAAGCCTTTCGATGATTTAGTTTGTCGAGTGAGATGCTGTAAATCCTGATTTTTACCCATACACTGGCATCACGGCTCATGGCATGACCTCGCAGACACCCACCTGAAATATACAAGCGTCTGCGAGCAGGCTACTTAATTGTATAATATATTTATAATATAACATTTTGTAAGTCCTGAACCTTGATCGGGCTAAGATCCGTGTTGATATACCTCAATGTCAACACGGAAAATTTCTTTCTTTATATTTCTTTGTGCTATATAATAAAGAAATATAAAACAGTTTTCCTATGATTGATGTCTATGATTGATATACAGTTATTTCAACTGAAAACACCTTGCCCTCTGGGTGTCGTGTTTCCACACAATTTCTCGTTTTCCCAATTTCCACTAACTCGTGTTGATATAACTGCCATCAACACGGAAATTGTTTTATATTTCTTAAACACGAACTAGTTGTGGTTAGAGCTCGACAACTGGCCTCTGTATAGCTCAGTTGCAGTTAGAGCGCTGTACAGGAATCGCAGGACCGTACGGATTCGATTTCTGCCAGAGTGCCTATAATCGCATTATAAGGCCTGGGAGTCAGGTATATATAAATATATTTAAATAGTACATATAATATTTATATTTTCTTCTTGCAGGGATGACAGACGTTGGACTCCTCTACTGTACGTAGCCTCGGCAGGTTGTCCAGACTGTACTAGTACACTGGTAGAAAATGGCGCGAAACTGAACGAATGGGACAAAAACAAAGTAACGAGAAATATTTATATTGTAAGAATATTCTCAACTGGAGTGCACTCGACCTCGTTCCCAGGCGCTCTCAGGGTTCCTAACAGGGCCCCTATGGATACCAGCTTAACAGCTGAATGGGATACCCTGCTAAAATAAAGTCACAACAACAACAACAACAACAACAACAACAACAACAACAACAACAACAACAACAACAACAACAACAACAACAACAACAACAACAACAACAACAACAACAAAAACAACAACAACAAAAACAACAACAACAACAACTCTCAACAACAACTCTCAACAACAACTCTCAACAACTCTCAACAACAACTCTCAACAACAACTCTCAACAACTACTCTCAACAACTCTCAACAACAACTCTCAACAACAACTCTCAACAACTCTCAACAACTCTCAACAACTCTCAACAACAACTCTCAAGAGCCTGGGAATGAGGTTGGAGTGCACTCAGAGACTACATAACTCTGCCAGCGAATTAAGTTATGTATCGTGCATAAATTACACAACTGGCTAATTACGCATTCTGTTTACTCTGTCTTGCAAAGCAACACAAACGTTTGCTAATTTTTCATTAGAAAGACATTCCGAAGGATGTCAGTTAAAACTACGGACAGTCGAAAGTCAGTTTAGTCAGGTAACCACATTCACTCACTCTTATTTGGCCTTTCTAGATGACCGCACTGAGTTTAGCCGCAGTTAAAAATAATGCTGATGCTGTGAAGGCCCTATTGGATCATGGGGCTGATCCGACGATCCTGAATAGTGAAGGTCTCAGCTGTATGGACATAGCTCTGAACAATCGCTTTCATGATGTCTGTATGGTGATAGCAAACAGCGATAAGTACGAATGAACTTATATAATATTTCAAATTTTCTACTGTACCGACGTTTCTACAATTTTCTTGTAACCTACAGGAATCTGGTAACTGATACATGTATTTAACGCGCTGCGCCTTTTGAGTTAGCTAGAGTGCACGAGAGTCGATGAGAGTTGGCGGTAAAGTTCAGAGTTGCCGGAAACTCTCATCGACTCCTGTTAACTCATTTGATTGTGGTGTTTAGCAGATACAACGGCAACGCAACGAAAACAGCCAAAATCAACTCCTTTAAATTAAATAATTAAATATATGTTATTGTGAGGTAATGAAAATAACACCAGAAACTGCAGAAAGCACCAGATTAAGAGGGATTCAACTATCTGAAAAATACTGAGTAAAACTTTAAAGTTTTAAATCCCGATTGTTAAATCCCTCTTAATCCACAAATTATAATTAACATTTTAGCTATGCTCCGTCAAACTGGCCCAGAAGCGTCCTGAACGATTTCGGCCCGATGACCTTTAAGTTGCAATTCGGCATTTAGATGCAAAAATGGATGGCAGTTAGCATCTCCCAACCGTTACCAGATAGCTAGGCTTTCAATTTCTCAAGATGTTCGTGTTTTTCTTTTGTAGATGGAGAGAAGCTTTAGTTTCGTGCGCAACAGTAGAAAACTGCCTGGACGTTTCCCCTGAAGTTGCTAAGGTTAATTGACAATTATACAATAGATTCGTGTTTCATATTTGGCCAGAGGTAGATGTAGGTTCAACTAAACCTCCTCTGGGGTGATGACTTGCCTAAACTCACCGCGAGATAATGCAAGTTTAAGTGATTTTAGGCGCGATTTAAGCAAAAATTGCGATGCGAGTTTGGGCGATATAGGGCGATTTTAAGGTAAGTTAAGATTCCAGAGTATATAGACTTTTCATCTGATCAGGGGCGTAGAAACCGGGGGGGAAGGGGGGCCAGGCTCCCTCAAGTTTTGCCAAGTGCCCTTTTTCCGGCAGCAAAGTGTCCTTTTCTTGCGTGAAAAATGTCATTAAGATTGCATTTTTTACCCAAAGAGCACTTTTGAAAACTTGAATTCAGTATATTATTTCCGAAAAAACTTTTTCATTTCCGGGAAAAATATCATATATCCGGAAAATTTTTTGGTATATCCGGAAAATTTTTTTCATATTTAAGAAAAAATGTGACATATCCGGAAAATTTTTTTGGTATGTCCGGAAAATTTTTTTGAGATGTCCTCCCCCCTACACCCCCCGTCTAAATTTTTAGAAGCCTTTTTTTATTAGAAAAGTGCCCCTCAAAGCCTGCCCCCCCCCCCAACTTTTAGAAGCTTCGATCCTACGCCTTCGATCCCGATCATGACTGATTGCGTGTATTTTAGGGTGTTACCATTCCATATGCACCATGTCAAAAACGCCACAAATCATAAAACTTTCAGAATGCATTAACTAGTGTCTTTCTATATGCATTACAATTTCAGGTTATCCTCGACAGATGTATCGAATTCAGTGGAAGAGAAATTGATAAAGACTATAAAGTATGACATATGCAAGATTTTAGTTTTAAGGATTTTTTTTTGGTCGATTGAAGAAAATGAAATTTGCGATTGCGAATAGACTTTCACAACCTTTTCCATCCAAAGTGAGAAATTGGTCATGCTCTATTCCTAACGCGATCGATAAATGCCTATTTAACTGAATAATAATTTACATTTATAGTGCGCAATGTTTCATTTGAATATGTTCGCATGCGTATTATACAGGCGAATAATATATGCACTCGCTTTCTGTGTGCTTTTCCTAATGGAAAATAACTTTTGTTGTAGGTGACTTATCATTTTGACTTGCTCGATCCTCATCCCGATGAAAAACTGAATTTCTACGGCCCATTGGTAAGTTTATGTCAACTGATGGCTCATGCATGATTAGCGCGCTAGCTTCGTTGGCATTGAGTTACCTGCAGGCCTGCTCGTGAGGATCCTTGTCTTCATTCTCAGCTTCCCTGTCATATGTCGACTGTCAGCCGTTTTAGATCCTTTGTTTTATATGCCAGCCAATCAACTTCTCTTTCAGCGACAACCCCATTAACTACATCTAAATATCTTCGCATTTCCACCCTTGTATCTGATCAGTTGCGCTACATGATGTTTCCTGACATTTCTTGCTTTCACATTGAAAACATTCTTATATATAAATTGTGCTATATATATAGGTAATGAAAAAGGCGAGAAGGAACGACTTGTTGACTCACCCTTTGACCAAAAAATTACTTCAGGTGAATTGGTATGTATGAGGAAGCTGATGTAAAGTGATCGAACAATGGACGACTTGCGCTTTAGACTAAATTTTAATCTAAGTAAGAACAACGAAATCTATTACCACAGCTAGAAAGAGCGTCTTGGAATTAGTAATACTACAAAGTTTGGTTGCGAAATGTTGTAAAATACGGAAAATATAGTCCTTCAAAGTTGGCAAATTTGTATACAAAAGTATTACGTGCGTGAATTGGTAACTAAATTAGTTACCAATTTCCGCACGTAATAGAAATGTATACAAATTTGCCAACTTCGCAGGGCTATATTTTCCGTATTTTACGACATTTCGCCACCAAACTTTGCAGTTTTTCTAATTTTGATAACTTCTTTCCAAAAATATCCTTTGTTATTCCCAAATTAAAAATTTTTCTAAAGCGCAAGTCGTCCATTAGACAGACCAGAGTGAATAACTCTAACAAAGTAGGTGGGGAAGCCATTTGGATGAAATTTTCCTCGTTAATGGGTTGAGAGAAGATATGGGCACATATATCTTGTGTCATATATTTTTTTTATATATAATTATATCTCTGCATGATAATTCCAATCTTTTGGGGCAGGTTGTACGAAGGCCGGAATTGCACTATCCACCGGATAGCGATATTTTCAAGCTTCCTGAATTTCTCCGTTGAATGGTATATAAGTCTTTAATCAGGGTTATACGGTATAATCCTGATTAAACTGTAGCATTTATAATTTAAACTTTCTTTTATTAATTGTAACGTCCATATCCGTAATATTATAGCTTTTTAAGCATTTTTAAAACGGTTGAAAAAATCACTATCAGTGACTCAAATTTATGAGCAAATTTACTCAATGTTTTAAGTAAAGATTTACTTTACTAAAAAAGTGAGTAAATTTGAGTAATTTTATTCAATTTCTTGAGTCGTTGTGTGTGCATTATCTTACTAACGTTTTTCAGTCAAACATTTTTGCAGTGTACATAATGAAATTTTCTACTAACAAGATGAACACAACACATGTTGTTTTTATAATTAGGAAGAATGGTGTACGGTATATCTACTATACTCAAATGTTCCTGCTTGCCCTGGCCATGGTCCTGTTAACATTGTTTATGGTTTGGGTGCGACAACTGATTGGACAATGCTACATGTATCTTCTTCGTGTTCAACAGAACCCTAATGGCACTATATTAAATCTACCTGACGGTTTTCTATATAATGAAACATTTTGTACGGACAAGGTACGGAATGAATGAACCTTAGACTTGTAGAATTCGTGTAACATTCACGAGCCAACGTTTCCTCACGGCTCTATAAATACACGTGTGGAAATCTCGCAGCTTATCCGCGACAAGATGTGTTCGCACTGCTTGTTCCCAGTTCTTGACAAGTCTGGAACAAGGTTGATTATGCCAACAGACTCGTAACAAGTTGTTCCAACAAGTCTGATATCGTCTGCACGTAACAAGTTGCAGAGACCTTGCAAGACCTTGCTAACAAGTTTATGACATCAAGCTCATGACAACTTGTTACGAACAGCTTGTATTATTCTTGTTGGAACAATTTGTAGCACGTTCGTTATCGTCGCCAACCTTGTTACATGCAAGGTGACAATAACTTGTAACTTGTTCCACACTTGTCACAACAACTGGGGACAAACAATGTGAACATATCCTGGTATCGGCTTGACAACAACCTTGTTACAACTAAGCTTGTTTGGTGTGGATCAAAGTTGATCTAAAGTCGTTCCTTATATTTTGCATACACTCCAGTATAGGGTGGGTGGTTTTAAAAAAAAAAACGAAACCGACGTAAGAAAACAATAACTGACCTATTTTCTGTCCGCGTCATCTTGACAACATTTGAAACCCCGTTTCACTGCGTTATCACTGTCATTTCGGGGCGGTCACCCCACATAAGAGATCCGACCGTCTGTAAATTAATCTGCGCGTAAATCTACAAATTTTCATGCAGATAGCCAGGTTCATAACGTTTGTTTATATAACTAGTATAATTTCTCTACTTATAGATCAAGTATGATCAAAATAATAAAAATGTTATGTTTTTTACCCGTTTCTCCTTCTTTGTCTACTTTCTGGGATGTCTGCTCAAAGAACTTAACCAACTTCGGCAAGAGGTAACTTATACCGATACCTTTTCTATCAGTCCACTTGATTTCGAAGAAAACATGCACTGTTTGGTAGTGTAAGAAATTCCCTCACAAGTGAAGTTATAATCAAACATATAGTAGGCCGGTTTTTGTAGATTGAAATTGCAAACGTAAATTTCTATACAATTTTTAGACCTATAACCAGGTGTAGTTGTGAAAAATGCAATTACAGGCAGGGTTTATTTTAAGAAAAATTTAGAACTGCACATATTATAGGGATGTTATGAAGCATCACGTGTTTGACTGGGGGTCAAAGGATTTTTATCTATATTTAATGTTGTAAATTATTGTTAACGTTGTAAACTATGATAGACACTTAATTTGTATATAGGTGGCAGAATAAATGTGTGGTTGGGTGGGGCCAGACAAATTCGATTCTGGGTTGGGAGCTACAGGTAGGGGGTGTCTCCCCAAATTTTGAATTTAGAGGCTCGTAAGTTCTGGCAAAGATTTGTTTCACACACCCAATCTTGTTATTCAATAGCTAAAAGCCTGAATATGAAAACAATTTGTTCATACGCCGAGTAAGTCGCGTACAATAGTGTGCTGAAATTCGATTACCTTTTTTTTATACAC